AAAACATGACAATGACCAAAGGCCTGATGGGAATCACAATGTGACTCATTTCTGGCAGTATACATCCATTCCTCTCTATCTCTGTCCAATTATCCATGTCTTTCAAACTTTATCTCCACCTTTATCCACTGTGTCTATGCTACTTTGCAGAGATGATAACATTTTGTAATGGCAGTCGAATTGACAGTCCCATTAAGTTCAAGACTTCACAATATCAAGTACTTTGAGAGTATAGTGGTGCTCAAGCAGAATGCTAACTTGCATTGCTAATGGCAACGCTAACATGTTGACATTTAACCCTTCCACCGTCCTCAGGCAAAAATGTTCATTTTGTTTGTTTGTTTTTTTTTGTTTGGTGATCATATTGGCTGTGTTGCAGCTTATGACATGAAATTTGGAAGGAAAGTTTTTTTTTAGTAATATTTTTGAAATCCAGTGTCGTTTACTCTTAAATGTCATTTATACTCTTTTTATGCATTTTGTACCCTCCTAACACCCTCGTGGCCAGAAATGTACGTGTACAAAAATTATAAAATCATCATACATCAATATTTTTTCTGCTTTTTTTCATAAATCTCTTAAACACACAAAAAAATTCTTGGGCCCCCTGGTAGTCACACTGTTCCATAATATGACAAGGCAAAAACATAAGAATTTCATGCATCAGTCTACAATGGGAAAAAGGTTGAATCTGGTGAAATACAATAAAAATGTCAAATATCACTACATTTCTTCAAAATGAAATGCTACCATTACAGAATGCATGGTTTTCTACTGTAATGGCAGTGAGATGAAAAAATGTGGTTTCAGTGGAAGTCAATGGGGCATTTTTGGCCATGAAGGTGTCAGGAAGGACTATCTGGCACTATATAAAAATACTAATGCAATCAAATCAATTTTGTTGCTAATTTTTGGCATATTCAAGAGTCCAATAACCACTGAAATCCCATCCTTCTACTATTTATTATATGAAAAATAATTCATTTTTAGTGTTTTTTGTAATAAATAATTCATAATTCAAATTAATAACTGGCATTTAAAGGGTTAACAAAATCCTGAGAATGATTGAATGTTTGGTAGTTTTGAACAAGTCTGAAGTTGTTTAAGAGATTTATGAAAAAAAGTTGGTGTGATGATTTTATAACAATTTATGTACATGTACATTTTTGGCCACGAGGGTGTTGGGAGGGTAGTATAATCAAGGAGGGTGGAAGGGTTAAGTATGTTTATCAGCTCATTTTATTGTGTTAAAATTTGCTTATTAGTACTGAACACAAGGTACAGATGAGATGGAGCAGATAGGACTGTTGTTCTATGGGTGCGTCTTTGGTCATAAAGCAAGTTAATAAATCTATCAAAAAGCTGTTGAAATGTCTCAGCCTGGACCAAAGTGGTGTAGTGACTGACAGACACTGCCATCCCTAGAGTCACACAGCTGACCTGGCTAAAAACTAGAAAAAAATTCCGTACATGACGGCTTATTTAACTACTGTAAAATGTGCTCAATTTTCACTGCATGGGGGTTATGGCAATAAACATGTTTTATGATATGGTAATGATAGGAAACAAGACTTCATGAATACGCTGCAAAGTTGAGAAGTGATGGTCAGACTGGGGTCTTTAAATAGGGACAGTTCACATTTTCAGGAAGCCTGCCATAGACAGTGGGAGTCCTTTCAGTCCACTGAAAAATATTCTCCTTCAGAGTTTTGATGTTAAAATAACTGGTACCAAGTAAAGTCACAAGTTCATAACCATTAATTTACTAATACACTGCAGTTCCTGGAATGTTTGGATGAACTGAGATGACTCCCAGGTCAAGATAATTCACATTTAACAAACAGAACAATTCTCCTGTCTTTAAAACATCCAGAGTTAGCTTTATTACATCTACACAGTGATTATTAAAACCCCTAAATGCACATTACTGTAGTCAAACTCACTGGGATGCAACACAGGCAAGTATAAGGAACATAGGCCAACAAACATAGCTGATACATTTGAGCCCTCTTAAATCTCTCCTCTGTTCCTCTGTGTTTACTACGCATCATGTTATTTCCTGTTAATAATAGCTCAATCGATTCCATTTGTGGTGGTCTGCAGGGACATTGCTCCTTGCACAAAATCAAGCTCTGAACAGAAGTGATAAGAGAACAGACACAGTGTGTGAGAATGTGTCATTCCACATTTCTGGTGACATTATTCTTATTTTGTGAGAGAAAGTCTCCTTTAACAAACCCCTACAGTCTGCAAAGCCACTGAAACCACATCCTGGGGTTTCTTAACAGAATGTTAATCTGGTAACAGGGCCACATAGAGCTATGATGTGTTGTGTAATTCCTAAAGGCAGCAGTATCATATATCAGTGAGCACAGCATGAAAAAATAGGAGGTGAGGTGAGGTAAGGTAAAAAGAAACAAGAGAGGAGGAGGAAAGGAGGACTTAACTGGGTACTGTAAGATGCACAGTGTAATCTGGATAACAGCAAAAAAACAAAGGTCAGTGAATCATCTCCTTGCAGAGGGACTGTGAAGCTCCTCAGACTGCACAGGCAGTTGCAGACACACACACACACACCCACAAGTATAAAAGTCCCCCCAAAAAATACATAGCTCAACAATACAGTGATCCATCACAATTAAGTAGCTGTAAACCTAATGTAACCCAAGCACCCAATCTATCAGAGAGCTGCCGGTTGCCTCTGTTCTCCCATAGTTTAAATCCCTCTGCTGAATACTGGAATATCACTAAAACATACACTTACAGTAAATCATCAGATCTACACCCTGCCTGCTGTATAATTCATTCCTAGTCACATCCAACTCAGTGATTGAGAGTGATTGTTTTAGCAGTACAGCTAACCAGTGCAGGTCTTCACCTACACATATATGCACAGCAAGTCCATCAGACATTTACTATATCATGAGAAGCTTGATGTTGTGTGCAGAATGTCTGAGGCAGTACTAGACATAAAGTTTATTATTTAATGTGTTACAATAAATATATAATTATGGACTTTTTAAAAATCGTTTCTTAGTACAAAATGTATAAAGTTAAAAACCTGCATTTCCTGTAGAAATTAAGAAAAAAAGGAAGGAAGGATATAAATATAGCGTATACCACAAATCTGACTAGATCCCTGTTCAATATCACTAAAATGTTAAATGATCCAACACTGTAACATCTTGCAGTAACTGTAACTTGAAGTTTAAGGTGTTTTATCTTATGTATAAAAAACTATTTAGATAGACTACATTGAAAATATGGGCCACAAAGTATGCCTGCGACTACTGTGACAAGATTGCAGACTGTAATATTTACTGTTCTGCACAGTACTGCATGACTACAACTGCTATGTATTTATATTTTTATGAATACAAAGTACAGTGTATATAGTAGTGCTGCAGATTATTGTTTTATGATATTAGATCATTTGACAGAGGCGTTCCTGCAACAGGCCATAACATTTTAGCTGAGAAGAGAAGGCAAAGGCCTCATCAAGAGGTCAAATTGGTTCCTGTGCACCCACCAGGGACATGCTCCACTATCACAGAGGAGGTGACCCTGGACTCAAATAACCAATAGCAGAAGAGCTGCCACAGGAAAACAGAGGGGGAACCACAGGATGTGGCCTGGGTAGGAACATGTTTGGAGAGAGTGTTCTTTTTGGCAAAAGGTAGGTCTCTCATTTGTTTCTGGGGCCTCGATGACAACCCTGCTGCTTTCCTGTTTTCGTCCCTGACGCAGGCCTCAGGTTAACAGGGACAGATAAAACATGAGAACATAAACATTGCTCAGGAAGTCACATCAAGAATGATTCAGGTAAAATTTCATTCATCTCAAAGACTAGTGAACGCCAAAACAGCAAAAGTGGGGAATGCGATGAGGCAGTTTTAATTTATTTAAATGTACAGTATGTGAAAGTATTTGACCAGCGAGATCACAGAAGGAACTCACACAAACAGTGGGTGGCAATGACCATGGAAGCCAGCAGGTGGCAATCTTCCTATCGATCACAGGCTCTGGAGAGTTTCAGAGGATGGTAATGACAATGTCATGGCAGATCAGTTATCAGTTCCACAGTAAATAAACCATGCACTCTCACAGTGCAGTTTGTCAGAGATTTATCAAATGCAACATAGGACAAAATGTCCACAAAACATTTTATCTCACGGTAAACCAGGTGACAATTATGTGCTCAAAACTGATTTTGGAACAGGACTTTTCTGAACAAACTCTCATTTGTTCAGGTCTATGCCTGTCTACAATCACATTATAAAGCTGTGAACGGATCAGGCTTTGAATTACCCTTCCCACTGAGCCTGACATGCAAAGTCTAACTGAATGGCTGTCAGGCTCTTATGGCATCAGCGTGACATTATATCCATATTGCTGATTTTATCAGCCCACACCATTGTTGTTTGCCCTTGGTCTATGTCTTTCATTTCCCTTGTAGTCACAAAACGGATCCAAAATTATTATTATTATTGCACTGAGAAGGAAATCAACAAATGTCTGGGAAGGAAATTGTACCTACACTGTCTGGAACTCCAATGTAATACCTGCATGCAAATACAAATTATTTTCAGTAAATGTACTATAAAGTGAATCTTTGTATTGCTTTCACATGGTTTGTTTGTTTTCTTTGCACAAATGCAGTCTGGAATCAAATTAAATTCATAATGCACTTGGATATAGCTGCATTTTGAGTGTTGTTTAACAGATTACTTAACATTCATGCAGGTGAAACACAAGACATAATAGTCTACACTTTCCCAGCCACAGTATGATGATAATTTAAAGTGGACTTCTGCAGTGTAAAGGGATAATTTTGAAAAAAGGACAAGGCTGGTTAATAAAACAGAATGGAAACCTGTGTCTGTGAACTCTGCACCGAAACCATTTTCCTGGTTCATGCACACTGGTCAGCATTTCTCCTGTCAACAAATTACTGATAGTTGTGATAGTTGAGCAAGACTGTGCAGAACAGGCAGCAGTGTTGATGCTGAGAAGACAGCTGTGATTGGTCCGTCTCTGTGGGTGTTTCCGCATTCCGCAAACAGCTGTCGGCAGAAGCGCGAATTGGGAAGGGGACTGTCGCACCTACGAAAGAATAAACCTTCTCAGTCATTCCCAGGGGAGTAACTGTCCATCGCCAGGGAGCAGGGATGCCTTATATGCTCATCACTACGCAGATCCGACTGGTGTGTATCCTGTATCTGTAGACTACTTGTGTCATGACTGTAGGAGGAGGAGAAGACGCGCTCGAGTTGGAGATTCAGGGATTGATTTACAACATTACGCGTACTACTGATCAGTTAGGGTGGTCGTGTGCAGATTATTGTTATACAGTGGCCTATGCTGAAAAAAAACGAACGGTCAAGGCCTACAAAAAGAGAAGCAGCGTGCTTGTTTTATTTCCCAGCTAGGAAGGAACGTTCCCAGAACATTTAGTAACATTCTCTAATAACGTAATAATGTAATCGGGACGTTCTTGTAACAAAAGATTTGTAGCTGGGTTGCCACGGCGCCCGAAATTAAAAGCACATGTTGCTCAGATTGCAGCCTCTTGATGCGCATGTCCATTTTGTTTGGACTACTCGAGCAACCTAATTCTATAGCCTCTGAGTATTTGGTCATCTATTTTTAGATTGTCCAGATATGATCCGCACCTGCCAGAGGGCTGCAGGTATAGCCAGTGTTATGTAGCCAGAGCTGCACAAATAACAGGCAGCAGATATGGTTTTAGCAAATAAATTGTTTCTAATTGTTGAAAATAAATTATAAACCATACAGATAATGCAGAACATTGTTGTCTTTCAGGAAACTGGTCCAACAAATGTGGGAGATGAATATTCTGATCCAGCTATTATGAATTACCTGGGAGCAAGAAAAACAACCATGCTGGGAAACAACTTGTGAGTACTGACAGTTTTTGTAGAAAGTGGCTACTCAAGATGGGCAACAGCTGAAGACAAAATGAGACACAGTTTGGCTCATGCGGTCATCTACAAACACACCAAGACTTTATTGTCTCTCATACAGAATCATGATTTGATCGCATCCCAGTCACCATACTCTAAAAAGGAAGAAGTAAACTGTAATGGCACGTTTCCAGTAGGGAGCTCCAAACAGTCCATATGGGAAACACATATTTACAGCGGTGTTTCTTTCACTGTGAAGTTTAACATGTCTGTTTTGCTGTCAGAGCTGAGATCAGGTAACATGGAAAGAAAAAAAACTCCCAACATGTTTGAGGAAGGCTGCTTCTTTGTAGATTTAGAATAAACCATTCAAAGCTGACAGAATACAGATCAGGGAAGTGTTGTCTTTGGCAGTGTGATTCAAATGCTGCTGGGAAATCAACCAGGAAGCGGACAAGCACCCAAACAATTAGCAACATTCTACTTTCCAAGTTTACTGAAAGAAGGAGAAAGCCCACATCTGTGGAAAGTACATTAATTTCTGTTTATGCTCATTTAGTTCCGAGTACCATGTGGACGACCCGCCTCGCCTGGTGTTAGACAAGCTGGAGAAGATTGGCTTTCGCGTGCTGACGATGACAGGAGTGGGACAGACGCTGGTTTGGTGCCTACACAAGGAGACCGAGTGACTGGTCATGGACCAAGTCTTGACTGTATCAAAATACCTCTATCTCTTCAGAAAGGATGAACGAATCACGCCGAAAAGTGCTGTCAACTTTTTTATAACTTTGGTTCTCTGCTCTACATTTGCAAAGTGAAAATAAAGTTTGAAAGTTGAGATTATCCTGGATGCAAGGTTTCGGATTACCTTGAACAGGTGATGATAGGTCCCCAATTTCAGGGAAATAGTAAATCTCTATTCCAGAGATTTTATGACCCTTTGCCCATAGTGCCCAAATTCTGCCTGTGCAAAAGGCCTCATCCAGTTCTTTCTTCTGAATAAATAAATAAAATACTCATTTGTACTTGCAGCACAGCTTTTTTTGTAAGTTTATTATATGCTTAAGATTAAGATATATAATTATATAGATTGCTTGTTTACTTAGTAAAAAAGAAAACATGCAATCCATATGTTTACCACTGAAGAAAATTAAACATGTATTTAGCTGTCTGCTAATCCATCAAAGAGACGCTTATCAAATATCACATGTAAAAACAAAAAGATTAACATGTTTGTACTGCGAGCTCTTGCAGCTCTGTGACACCTTACTTGTAATAAATCTACTTTAAACCGACTTCAGACTGTCCAGAATGCTGCTGCGAGGCTCCTCACAGGAACCTCTAGATCAGCTCATATCACTCCGGTTTTGTACTCACTTCATTGGCTACCAGTCAAGGTCAGAGTTGGTTTTAAAATTTTAGTGCTGACGTTTAGAGCACTACATGGGCAGGTCCCCCAGTATATTACTGATTTGTTGGTTCCACATTCTCCCAAACGTACTCTTCGTTCCTCAAATCAGCCCCTTTTGTTGGTCCCAAAAACTCGCTTTAAATCTCAGGGGGACCTGTCTTTTAAGGCGGTTGCTCCAAGATTGTGGAATGCTCTGCCCTTGTCTTTACGTATGGCCGAATCTGTTGAGGGTTTTAAAAAGCAGCTGAAGACACATTTATTTAGACAGTTTTTTAATTGAATGAGTTTACAGATTTTTATGATCTGTTTTTATTCTGTTATTTGAATTGCTTTTAGGTTTTATCTATATTATTCGTGCTGATTATTATTATTACTATTCTGTGATGTTGTGAAGCACTTTGTGATATTGTCTGTGAAAAGTGCTATATAAATAAAGTTTACTTACTTACTTACCTTACACGGATGTTGCAAGCCCCGATCCTGGGCACTAGCACTGCAGGTACATGTCATGATCCTACCCCTCCCTGCTTCCAGCTCACCCAGACTCCTGGTAACATCACCTCATTTAACACAGTGGTTTCACCTGCGCCTTAATCCTGCTCACCTGTTTCCCACAGTATATAGCAGCTCCTCACTCTGTGGGGAGCTGCCAGATTGTTCTATGCCCCGTCTAGACTTTCCAGCGTTACTAACTCTTGTGCCTGACTACCTGGAGATCGACACCCTGGTTGTTACACCGACCTGTGAGTTTGCCTCTCCCCTCTTGTCCACCTGCTCTCCTGATACCGACATCCTGCCTAAACCGACCTGCGATCCTGCCTTGCCTACCCTGCTGCCTTGCTGGAGAGTACGACCTCGGACCGAACTGACCCTGCTTCCTGGCTTGTCCCTGAAAGACTGTTACTGTTTCTGCCTGTGTCAAAGAGATATTAAAACCAGTTCTACTGTCGCAGCTTGCTGGCTCTTTAATAGGGTTCACACACCTACCTCCACGGGAGCTGTGCACTCCTGATCCGTGACAGTACACAGCATGCAGGAATCTGAGAGCCAAAAACACTGGGAGGTTTCATTATAGCCCCAGGTCTCCCAGCATCTGTTTGAGGCCAGCCCAGATGACTAACCTGTAAACTAGAAACTTTGCCAGCCAGCTTGCAGCCAAACTCTTACCTGCTGCCTCATACATGACTTAACATCTACCTGCACACTACTGTTTGCATATACCAGCATGGCAGCTTTGATTCAAATAATGTAAGGAAAACTGGGGGGTAAGATGCTACGATGAAGATTCCAAGGCTCTGTTCAGATTGTTGATAGAACAGAGCATACAACAGGCTCATCTTCTAATCCTGGTTCACATGCAGCACAAGACCCAGTGGGCTTGGGGCAGGGTTGGCAGTAAATGCATTTCCTGTAATTACATTTCTTCTGTTGTCATTTGGACAAAGTTTGTGTGTTTCTGGGCTTTTTTTCTACATTGCTGGGATATGAAAAAGACTGTGTTTAAACAAAAGCATGTGATGAGGGGATTTTGCAGGCGGAGAGGAGCAGATGTCTCCCACAACACCACTGCACTCCACAGCTGGACATTCTGTAACAGAGCCACAACTAGGCAGAGCAGGGTTGGAAGTTGCAAAACTGCCATGTGGCTCCTAAATAACACCATGACAAGAAAAAGCCCCACCACACAGGCCAGCAAATAGAGACACAGGATTACACCATAGCCCCCCAAGGGACAGGAGAGTAAGACTATTCTGATAGACAGATGTTCCACAGGCAGAGGACCTTGTTACAAAAGAGGGTGACCACATCAGTCTAACACTGTAAGGTCTGACCTAATGTGGGTCACTGAGCTGTGGCATGTCACTTTAGAGAGCATAAATAAGCAAAACACCTCAGCATAGGGCCCACTGGAGGGTCGTGACCCCCAGATGGAAAACCCCTGGCCTCCATTATTTTGTGCATGGTTTGAGTAGGTGATCTTAGAGATTACATACATAGAAATATTTAAGTCACAAATCTACAAATAACATCCTAGAGCTCAGTGAACAGCCTTGAAACTGTACAGTCCACAAGATTTCTTCAGCCTGGAGTAGGGCTTTAGATATATTGTATACAATGGCCCAGGGAACAATTGTCCCTAAACCACCAGATCTGCAAGAGATGGCCTTCAGAGTATGTTCATTTTACATCACAGGGGCCATAGGAATTCCCATAAAAGTCTACCAAGTGATCAAATTGCAAACAGATTCCTGGTTTAACCCGGGGGATCAATTATTTCTGCACAGTCACATCGCGGGGTCCGTGGCTGGAATTGCTGCAACACTCAACTTATTTTACAGTATCCACATGACAGAGGAGAATGATTTTTACATTCCACGCAGATGGCTACAACAATGATGGAATGAGTTGTCACCGCTACCCAAATTACATTACTTTTGATTATGTGTAGTGTTACACGGCCAATCTCCTCAGGCTCTTTTACAACACAGTGAACAAAGACTGAAAACTCACTCTAACCTCTAAAGATTTTACAATAACTTACCAACAAAGTTACTTCTCAGCAGGAGTGCATTAGATGTTACAATAGCCATGTTGTATGATGATGCATGAGCCACATTACAATATTCTTGATGTGCTAAGGTAATGTTATACACTGAACACAGATTATAATCTCCCAAACTGCCAGAAAAACTAAGAAAATGTAAAATATTATGTAACAAACACCTGTTGGTCTTAGGTTTTTTTTTTTACTTTTATGGCACAAAATAGACAGTCAAGTAAACAGACTAATGCCTAAAAAACTCAGCTAAATTTTAAAGGCATCTGAAACTAACAGAACTGTTTATTTTGAAGAATACATACACACACACACACAAACACACACACATATACATATATACACACACATGCTGAACAAAAATGATGGTACCTCTAGAATGGATTGAAAATAATTTGGCCATAGAGACATGTTAAACTAAAGTGCGTCCTCTAATTAGCATCACAGGTGTTTTCAAACTTGTAATCAGTCAGTCTGCCTATTTAGAGGGTGAGCTGTGCCGTTTTGTATTATGGTGTGTACCACACTGAACATGGACCACAGAAAGCTAAGGAGAGAGTTGTCTCAGGAGATTAGAAAGAAAATTATAGACAAACATGTTAAAGGTAAAGGCTATAAGACCACCTCCAAGCAGCTCGATGTTCCTGTGACTACAGTGGCACATATTATTCAGAAGTTTAAGGTCCACGGTACTGTAGCCAACCTCCCTGGACGTGCAGCAAACAGACTTGGTTCCGCTTGGAGGCGGCTGTGGCTCAGGAGGTAGAGCGGGTCGTTTCCTAACCGGAGGATTAGCAGTTCGATTCCCAGCTTGTCCAGTCAACATGTTGAAGTGTCCTTGAGCAAGACACTTTGCTCCTGGTGATGTCACCGGTGTTTGGGAGTGCAAATGGGTGAATGGCCAAATAGTGTGAAAGCGCTTTGAGTGTGCTGTAAAGCATAGAAAGGCGCTATACAAATATAAGACCATTTACAAGTATGAAGACTATTGCAGGAAACTCGTGTGTTTTTAGATGGTTGTAATTCAGATATAGAGCTGGCCAATGCTCTTAATGTTTTTTTTTTTTTGTCGTTTTGATTCTTTTGATTTCAGTACTGAAACCCAGCAACTGAAACAGAGACTTAAAGACTCTTTGCATCTTAACATTGAGCTGCAAGATGTCAAAAAGGCATTCTGTGCTGTAAAAGTGAATAAACGTTGTGGCCACGAATAATGTATGTGGGCGCCTAGTGAAGTTCTGTGTACATGAATTAAGTCCTGTGTTTCAGTACATTTTTAATAAGTCTTTGCAGACATAATATGTGCCTAAGCTCTGGAAAGATGCTGTTGTTATCCCTGTTTTTAAAACCAGTCGTCCTATAATTATGAATGATTTTAGACCAGTCGCTCTGACTTCGGTATTAATGAAGACTTTTGAGAGACTGGTCAGATCGAAGGCCCTGAGGCAGACTGAACAGGTATTGGATCCTCTGCAGTTTGCATATAGGCCTCATAGGGGAGTGGAGGATGCTACAATCACTCTGCTAAATATGCTTAATAGACATTTGGATCAAAGTGGGACACATGCCAGGCATTTATTTGTGGACTTTTCTTCCGCCTTTAATACTATTCAGCCCCACATTTTAATTGATAGGCTTTTACAACAATTCAATGTGAGTAATAACCTGGCGGGTTGGATTTTAGAATTTTTAACTAATCGTACACAGAGAGTTAGGGTCAATAGTGTATTGTCTGATCGAAGGGGTTCGTCTACTGGATCTCCCCAAGGGTGTGTGCTGTCACCATTACTTTTTATTTTTTATACAAATATGTGTCAGAGTAGATGGGACAATAGAACAATCATAAAGTATGCTGATTATAATAACTTGATGGGATACAAATGCAAGCACGCTGGTCGGTTTCAACACTTTACTGAACAACTGCACAACTGTACACAGTGAACACTTGTCTCACAAACTGACTGCCCAAAAACCCGGGGAACTACTGGTCCCGTGATAGTGCCCTACATAACATGTTCCCCCAAGATGCCTAACTAAGGTTCCTAGCTCCCAATTCAACAGCCTCAAACTATAACACTGATGATGCAGTTATTGCCAGTCTTCTTAGGGATGGTGAAAATAGCCACGGTTCAGTTGTGGATGATTTTGTTGGCTGGTGTGAGGAGTCCTACCTGCAACTAAACTTAGCAAAAATTAAAGATATGCTTATTGATTTCAGAAAGAAACCTCACAGGCAGGAAGTCACTTTAAAGGGCAGACTATTGAGTCTGTGAAATCATAGAAATACTTTGGGACGATCATTGATAATAAATTGAGTTTTGAAGAGAATTGTGAAAGGGTGTGTAAAAAGGGTCAGCAACATCTACATTGTTTAAGGAAACTCGCACACTTTCACATTGATTGAACTTTAATATGTTTTATCAAGCTTTTATTGAATCTATTTTATCATTTTCCTTGGTGTCATGGTTTGGTCAGATACCTCTAAGACAGAGGACAGCCTTAGATCGAGTAGTTAAGTGGTTTAGTTGGGGAGTCTAAGCCAAGTGTGGCAACCCTGTATAGTAGACAAGTACAGAGGATGGCTACTTCTATTTTAAAAGATGATTCCCATCCCCTGTACTGCTATTTTTTGCTTCTCCCTTCTGGCTGGAGGTTTGTAGTTCTGAGTTGTAAAACTAAGCGATATAAATGTAGCTTTGTCCCTGTTGCTGTTATAGAGCTGAATAAGCTGCAGTAATACATTGTATAATATGATTTTTAGGTTTTTGTTTTTATGTGAGGTTTGTATCTTTTAATGTGCTGATGGGTGGAGTTATGAGTATTTCTATTTCTACTACGTTCAGGGTATGTGTGTGGTGTTTATGTTTGTGGAATTTTGTGAATGTTTAAGGGTGCCATCTGATCTGACTGCAAAACAAATCTACCTACGGGTATAAATAAAGTAACCAACCAACCAACATATGTATATATACACAGTATGTACATGACAGTCTATAAAATATGGCCTCACAAAATAGTGTGCAGCCATCCCTACAGCCTGAGAGTTGGGAGTCCTACCTCCTGGAAAACACAGAATCCTGCAGGCGGCCTCACTTCTTCTCTGCTCTGCATGTCCCTCAGTCACCCTAGGCTGTCAATAAAGGGACATCACTGGCAAATGAAAACCACTCATTAAAAAACATTTTAACTTATTAAAAAGCTTTATTTTGCCACATAGTGTGTTACATATAAAAATAATAAAACATAAGGGGGTTTATGAACCTAAAGCTTCAACCAGATATTCATATAATAGTGAAAGGCTGGTGCCACACTGGGTCTGGCCGTGCTATGATCTGGCAGCATCCTCCTCATCTTCTCTCTGCATTTGTTCTATGAGTCTCTGCCGCTCAGCGGCCTGCCTCATCCTCATCATCACCACGCTCTCATAGTCTCGCTCATTTGTCAGGGAGCTCTGCAGGAGAGACAGATATATAATACCAAGTAGGTGACACAGAGAAGTTATAATGTGAAAAATGGTAAAACAAGGACCGCATAAAGTACAAAGTATAATGTTTATTCCCAGTCTGTGTCTGTTCTATCTTTAATACAGACAATAATCAAGGAACATGTCTAATAAGCCATTACATGCATAAAGGACTTAAACATGTCTGTTTTATATCATGACAACAGCGACACAGAGAATGACAACCCTTTCGCCGTCTGTTTGCTTTCACAACCAGGCACGTGGGTGCAGTGAGGAGGAGAGGCAGACTCAGACAGATGCTCTCATCTCAGTTACCATCAACATGGCGGTAGGGTGAACACACATGCGAAGGCAGCCTGCAGAGCAATTGTAAGATTAATTCAGCTGCCTGATGTCATTAAACACCAAAATGAGGGCTGGCAGTCATCTTGGTGGCACTGTGTGTCTGTGATTTCTTTGAGGGGCTTGAGCATGAATCATGACATCGAGAGAGTCTCTTACTGTGGGTAGGAGAATTGGAAAGGGCAGCCACAGGCTAATGGCTAATCAAGTAGAGTGGACCATTCTCATACACACATAAGCGACCACACACATCCGGGCACAAGAAAAGGGATGCTAAAGAATTGAAGAGGCACTTCATATAGCATCTGAGAAGGATCATGCTTTTATGTGCACATTTGAAATACATGCACACATTTTAATACACAGGGAAGCCATGTGTCCACAGAGTAAGTGACTGTTTTATATGATTATACCCTGGAAGCCTGCTCAGCAAAGGGTCTCTCTAACAAGACAGTGAGCTGCAGGAGAGAGCAAGTGAATGTCTGCATGAAGGACAGAGAATGAATGAAAGTGATTTAAAGAGGGAAGTAGTTTTTGGTTAAAAATGGACTGTAAATGAACTGTTAATGGAGAGCTAAGGCATCTGGAAAACATCACAGGGACTCCAGCATCCATGTACTGAGAGGAAAAGGGTATGTGTGGAGGAAGAATAAAGGTGAGGATCTGTGAGGAAAAGATACCCCCCACACCTCTATCACCACCTGGGATTGAGGGAAGTTGCTATTATCATTCCAACAGCGTGAGGTCAAGCACTTGTCTGACACATAACTATGAAATATCACGCAAATGCCATTCACTAAATAAACAGCTGTTGCATTTTCAAATTATACAAAACACAAGCAAGTTGGTAAAAATGCTTCTTCCTCTTCAGCAAAGATATCTCTACTGCAGCCTGGCCTCTACTGGTCACTACAGTGAAGTGCACCTAAAAAGTTACAATTGGTCTGATTTATTTCCTACCCTGTGTGTTCACAGGCTGCACCAAGCTAATGATGTCTAGGAATTCTCCGAATTAACAGGTGCTTCATGGACAATGTGACTCATTACTTCTCAGAATGAGGGATGCTTCCTTGCCCATGGTGGTAACTTACAATATTACATATTTAACCCGTGCATCTGTGACTGTTGGCGTTACAGTAACACCAGGGCCCAGCGTGAGCGGAAAACCACAGAACACAAACAGTGGACCCCAGACGAAAGCTAAGAGAGGAGAGTACAAGGCCACGGCACAGGAAGGATGGTAGTAAAACACACATACACATGGGAAAGCTGAGGATTAGCTATGTCACATCAACACATGGCTAGGTCTCCAGACAACAAGCCCTAGCCTGATCCCTGGTCAGTAATGACATCATGATTACCACCAGTGCTGTGATTCAGGCAACTTAACACACACACACACACACACACACACTCTCTCTCTCTGTCTCTCACACACACAGCAGGAGGCATGTCTCAGTGCAGATGGCCACTGTGTTCCCGTGGCACAAGTTGTCATCAGATCAGCTGCACATTACACAGTTTCTGCATGTGTGTTTGTGTGAGTATGAGTGTGACTATGTAAGCACGAGTAAGTGTGTGTATATGCAAGTGTGTGGAGTGGGGTGGATTTAAGATGAGAGTGTCACTATCAAAAGACAAGATTTTTTTCCAGAAAATTGTCACAAATCAAAGAGGGAATCTCTTCCTCTAAAAAGGTTATGTCCTCATTTACTACTTTAGGATCAGAATCAGTTTATTGGCCAGGTGTGTTGGACACACAAGGAATTTGACTCTGGTACATCGGCTCTCAATGTGCAAACAGTAAACCAGCATAACGCTGTGTAATATAACAAAAATAAGCAGTATTTACAAGCAACAGAAAGTGAAAACAATGCAGAATAAGCAGTATGAACAGACAGTAACAATGCAGACAACAAAGGAGTGTTCATTAAAATGAGATAAATAGGGATAAAACAGAGTACTTAAGAACTAGAGACCTGTACAAGTCTGTATAATCTGTATGAGTTATATTTACAGGTATTGCATTGAGGGTTATTGTCCAATCATACTGTCGTGGGTTAAGTGTTCATCAGGGTGACAGCCTGGGGGAAGAAACTGTCCCTGTGCCTGGTTGTCTTGGCGCACAGTGACCTGTAACCCCGTCCAGAGGGGAGGAGTTCAAACAGATTGTGTCCAGGGTGTGAGGGGTCTGCAGTGATCCTCTCCGCCCTCCTTTTGACCCATGAGGTGTACAGGTCCTCCATGAAGGGCAGGCTCACACCAGTGACCTTTTCTGCAGTCCTGACTGTCCTCTGAAGTCTGTACTTGTCCTGTTTGGTTGCTGAGCCAAACCAGACAGTGATGGAGGTGCAGAGAACAGACTCGATGATTCCTCGGTAGAACTGTATCAGCTGCTCCTGGTTAGAAGGACAATTAATCTCTGCCAGGGACTACACAGTCCCAGCAATGTAGGGATGCCATGGTGCTTGGCATTCCATCTATGTCCCACATACAGTAGGTGACTTGAGGTCACTGTGTGTGCAAAGTGCATTCACCGGTGCGATGTTTGTAAGCTCACATCACAGTCGTGCTGGTCAACGGTGCTCCATCTTAATCAGGCTGTGTGTGCAAAGTGTGTGAGCAATCAGTAGGCGGCGCCAATGAGTGGGTGCACCACAGGTGTGAAGTAAGTCCCCTGTCATCTCCACAGTTTTGAGCGTGTTCAGCTCCAGGTTGTTACGGCTACACCACAGGACCAGCTGCTCAACTTCCCGTCTGTAGGGTGATTCGTCACCATCTCGGGTGAGACCTATGACCGTTGTATCATCAGCAAACTTTAGGAGCTTGACAGAGGGGTCCTTCGCGATGCAGTCGTTGGTGTAGAGTGAAAACAGCAGAGGGGAGAGCACACATCCCTGGGGGGCGCCTGTGCTTATTGTCCGGGT